AGGTTTGTCTTAAGTTTACTGCTTAAATTAGCTCGACACCAGTTCAGCAGAGATAAGATTTTGTTCGTTTACTTGCGTTTTGCTTTGGGTGACAGCTGAAAAGCTGAGATGATTTCCCGTTACTGACGCAGGCTTCCTGGATGGCTGCTGGAGGGAAATTCCGTTGCTGATTGGTTGGTCGCTTTGGCGCCGGAATGACGTTTGGATGACGTCCTTTGGGGAAGCCCTCGTTGGATTGGTTGGTTGCCGGGTTACGGAAGAGGCTTCAGCAGTCCTGCTAAAAGGTCTGAGTTTGCAAGACTTTTAGTTCTTTGAAGAGTTACGAAGCTTCAACTGAAGTGTTTGAGTTCTGATGGTCGATCGCCTGATGGTTCAGCTTGTGAGCACAAGATAGAGTGCTCTCCACACGGCGACAAGGCCTTGCTCGAGAAAGCAAGTGGCGAAGAGCCTGCTTTCGGGAGAGCAAGCGGCAAATGCCTTCACTCGAGAGAGTAAAACAGCGAGAAGCAATTGAATCTGAGGTGCAAAGGGGTTTTGGTCCGTGGCATAAGCCCACCCTACGGCGCGATCTGCCAATCGGCTTCTTGCAAGGCGGAGCATGCATACACTTAACAAGAGGCTTCAATTCATCATGTGGGGGAAATGTCTTTGCAGGTTTTGTTAATAACTTCTATAAAGTGTCGTACCACACACACTGTTCAAAATAACACATTTTCCTTCATACCAAGGTTATTCGAATATCATGACCATTCCTACAAGCCCAAACTTCGCATATCTGGCATACCTTTTAATAACCTTATTTCCTAAAAAGGGTAATGAACACTGATTAAAGTTGCACCGATTACATGAAACACGTCAAGCATATATATAAGACATACAACATATTATTTGTGAATATATTGCCCCGATACTTTTCAATGATTTTCAATGATTGTCTGTGTACGTTTCGTTTCTTTGTCTGTGACAAAAGGAGTTTGTAAGGGTTTCAGTCATGCAGGAAGCAGATGGTCAAACAGTCATATGGCGTCACGCTGTATATCCCGTGCTTGTAGGCCCGAGGACGTGATTAAATTACTGTCCTTTTCCTGGAGGACGATGACACAAGACATCGTGGTTTCTATATGTTGTGAACGACCCTTCCAGTCCTGATACAAAGAAAGCTTTGTTGTCTCTTGATTGGATTAATCTTTAATCACTCCTCTGAGTAGATGACGACAAGACTGGCAGGAAATCCCCCCCGAATATTGGAGTCATGTGCTGGGATGATTCCATGGCTTATCAGTGTCTGTTATATATATAGAAATCCCTACACAGTGATTCTAAACTAGGGGGCCATGGCCCTCCAGAGGGCCTCAGCAAACTCCCGAGGAGACCTCAAGATGATGTAAAGAATAGTTCACCCAAAAAAATTAAAATCTACTCACCCCTAAGGCCATCCAAGATGTAGATGAGTTTGTTTCTTCAATGAAAGCAATATTATGGATAGAGGACTTGTATTTTAGCTGGATGTTAAAAATGTCTTGATGGATTTATTTATTACAAACCAAAATTTAGAAGACACAAAAAGATCATAAAGTTGTTGTAAAACGAATCCATATGAATTAAGCAGGGGTGTATTCCAGAAAGCAAGGTTAACTTACCATCTGCTAAACCCTGAACTCTTGGTTGATTAACCCAAACCTTGCTTACTCGAGGTATGTTGGTTTCAAAAACGCATCCGGGAGCAAGTTCATTCAGCCCAGAGCACGTTCCTGGTTAACACACACGACTTTCTCAAAAGAGCGACGAATCGACGAGTCACTATGGAAACGGATGCTAAGAAAAAGTGCGCCATACTACTTTCTGCGCCTTTCTTCTTCTTCTGTTCAGAGGACATTTGCATACTTGGTTCATATCGCCACCTAACTGGTGGTTGTGCAGTCATATTTCTTTTTTTTTCCGTTTAATCTTTAATCTTTGAGAATAAGAATTATATTGTTGGTTTGATGCTAATTATATAAGTCTTATCAGATATGTATTTCCGGGAGTAAGTTCATTCAACACAGAGTATGTTCCTGGTTAACACGCAACACATTCTCAACTGTATATATATTATATATATAAATAATACATAATATTGTGCGCAATCTGTCACGCTCACTGGAGTCTCGTCAGTAGGTCACGCATGCGCTGATAGCTCTGAAGTGAACTAACCCTGAAACATAACCTACTCCGGAGCAGGTTATGTTCACAGAATAAGTTGCTATGGCTACTTGCATACCCTGAAAGTTACCTCCATTTTTGAGAATAAGTTGCTATGGCTACTTACATACCCTGAAAGCTACCTCCTTTTTTGGAACCGAAAGCTGAAACAATTGCATCTCTTCACAAGACTGGGATTAAACTGCTTTATTCATATGGACTTATTTTACAAAGACCTTTTTGTATAAGTTTGAATTATCTGGACATTCAATGGAGGAATAGAAACCTCTCAGGTTTCATTAAATCAATCTCAATGTGTGTTTTGAAGATTAACCACATGTTTGGAAGGACATGAGGGTGAGTAAATGACAGAATTCAAATTACTGAATGAACTATCCCTTTAAAGCTGATTTATACATCATTAGCAGCACAAACAATCCCCTGTCTTCCACTGGTTGGACATACAGTTGGGTAAACTGCCCTGAAATAACACCATTAGTTAAACCAGAACTTGAACTTTGAAGTCCCTCAAACAAACAAAAGCGATGTTATGACAGAACAGCCTCCAAGTTTTCTGATTGGCTAAATTGTGTGGGCCGCATTTTACTTCCTTTTGCCATTTACAGGGGCTGACACACAGAGATAAGTGTGATTTTTATCTGGCAGTAGGGTCATTTTATCAAATGGTAGCATTCCATAAACAATATTTTACAGCAACTGTTCTTTGATACAATGGTGATTCAGATTCTGTCATCCCAATGCCTACAACCTTTGGAACACAGGCCACTGGACAACAGGTCACCCCATACTAAATGTGCTCAGACATCTGCCCTATAAATCTCCATAAGTATGGCAAGCTGTTTTAACCTTTATTCCCGAAAACTATCTACCAATTTTATATTACTACCTTTTTTTAATTCTTACCAAGTAATCCAGAGATGCTAGTACTTGCAACTAGCCACTATAGCTCATATTACTATAGTCTAGAAAATGTAAATACTTTTGTTTATGCCTTTATACTTGCCAGTAACTATAGTTATTAGTATATGTCCCTGCTTTTTAGGGCTAAAATAACAGAAATTAGTTGGAATTTATCAGACAATAGTTTTTATACAATTTATAACTTTTTAATAAAACTGTATAGTAGCCACCCTGACTAGTCATTACAAATATGTAAAGCTATTTTATATAAAAAACAACTGTAACTAGTAGTGAGACATGCTAGAAGTAACAATTTGGATAGATACTAATGCTAAAAAAAGGTCAATTAATATTTAACAACATCTAATATCTATTACAGCCTCAATAAATACTAGTAACTATTGGAATAGATATGATTAACTAAGCTCCAATCAAACCAGGATGCTTCAATCTCATTCAATCATACTGCATTTTCAACATATGCATCCATTTAAGGCATCTATGTCCCCTAGAGGTGTTTTAATGCAAATCATCTTCTTAGAAGCTAGGATGTAGGGTCTCTAAAATAATACTTCTCGTCTCACACTTGGTTGCACACACACACACATTTCCCGTTTTGTTTTTATTCCCCTTAAATTGAATGTGACTAGCTCTATAATTGTGGAAAATAGGTTGTGTATTATAACACTTAAGCTACATCAATACTCTTCATTCCTGAGGCTGTTATTATTCGAGTGGCCAAAGGCTCTTAGGTCTGGCATTCAATCAAATACTACAAAAACCAAGCCACAGTCTTAAGTGTTCTGCACGTGCTTGGTTAAGTTCACAAGACAGAACATCCAGACATACAAGAACTGTGGTAAGTGTTACAATGAATAGTTATTGGATTATGTTATCTGAAAACAAAAATAAAAATGAAACACTATGGAGTCCAAACAAGGGATCAATTCTTTAATCATGACTGTGATAAGATGTCTTTGCTTCTGTATGCTCCAAACAGACCTTAAGTACAAAGTACAAAAGGACAAAATTGTGACAATTAACAATTTGTTCATATTCCGATTCGTATTTCGCATTCGTAATGGTTTCATTAACTCTTTCTGTACTGTCAAGGAAAAAAATATTTTAAAATAGTAATGTGAATAACTGGCAAATTTGATTTTGATCATTAAAAAAGTAAACAATTCTTGCAAAAGACATAAAATGCAACCCAAAAATTTAAATAATAAACAATAACACTAAACAAACATGTTGTAACATTTTTATTCATTTATTTATTTTCATAAATATTACTGACAAAACTCCTAATGTGCAAGATTTAAATCTCATGAGCCACAAGTTGTATGCATGTCAACAGTTATATGTTAGGGAATCACCTACACTGGTTGCAAAATACTGTTTTGTTTTTGATTCAGAAAAAAGATAAATAATCATTTGTTCAGGAATCAGACTGGCTGCACTGGTCACGCTGTATGGTTTTGATTTGCTGAAAAAAAAGAAGTAATTGACCTTTTGACCTCAAAAATGCAAATACGAAGAATTTCAAAGGTAGTATAACTGATAATACTATTGCAGTATTTAATAATTTGCAAAGAATATCCAACATGTAATATGCTGATTATTCCATGATAATTCTCTAAAGTCTAGGGATGGGAAGATTCCCCGATTCGCTCGGTGCATCGGCATAAAAAGTTAATGATGCGATGCATCGGTTTAAAAAGTGTGTATCGGCTACCAGTTGGCATTTGTATCGTGATGTATCGTTTCTAATATATTTGCATCGGTAAAAAACTATTTATTTATATATAATTACTAGTGGATGCGCTATACTTTTATTATTTAGAAAGTATTTGTTGTTGGACATTAAATGTGCCTTTTGTAGAATTTTAAACCTTCAATTTCTTTATTATTTATTTTCATTTTAATTCAGTGATTTTAATGCTTTAAAGAGCAATTTTAGATTGTAATGTTCTGCTATCTGTTCTGCAAAGGTACAGCTGTCAAAACCAGAGAGAGCCTTTCTGCTTGGCTAGAAACTGTAAAAAAAAAAAGTCAAATAATAGCGTTCCTTAGTTTTGAAAAAAAAAAAAAAGTGTCTTACCTGCATTGCATGACTTTTATCCGCGTATCCTTTAACGAAGAGCCAGTACGCAGTTGTTGCCAGGCTGGGTCCCGGTAGATCAGCTATGGTTTTGCAGTTTCCAGTGATCGATGTTGCGTTGTGCAAATCTACATCGCCTGCTTGAGACTTCAGGGTTCGCGCTATGAATTCATAAAATGGCGCATATTTTTTGCCAACATGAGCTGCGAGACGATCAGCTTTTACAAGAGAAGACAACATTATGACTGGCGTCTGTCGAACTGGACATCTGAAACTAGACGACAGCATACTACTAAGATGTTTTGTGTCAAACCCTGGGCGGGATTCATAGTGTCTCAAAGCCTAGTGAACTGCCTACATAGACAACATTGCCACGTTTCAAACCAAAACGCCTATAATGCTCAACAAAGCCATCTAGATAAACGGTTCACTGGGTCTATGGTTTTGAGACACAGCCCGGAACGTTGCGCACACACCCAGAGTTTGACACAATGTAAATGTCACACGTGGAAAAACACGAGGCGTTACTGTTTAGTCACCTATATAAAGGTATACTAGGGTTCTTTTTTTTTTTTTACAGCTAAAACAAAACACTACCGTTCTGAAGTTTCGGGTCAGTAAGTTTTTTTTGTTGTTTTTTTTTTTTAAGAAAAAAAGAAATTAATACTTTTATTCAGCAAAGATGCATTAAATTGATCAAAAGTGACAGTAAATACATTCATACATTTGTATTTCAAACAAATGCTATTCTTCTGAACTTTCAATTCATCAAAGAATCCTGAAAAACTTGTATCAGAGCTTCCCTTCCACGAAAATATTAAGCAGCACAACTGTTTTCAACATTCAAAACAAACAAACAAAAGTTTCATCAGCAAATCAGCTGAGCACCAAATCAGCTTTAGAATGATTTGTGGAGGATCATATGACACTGAAGACTGGAGTAATAGTAATAGTAGAGAAAATTGTTATTTTAAATTATAAATATATTTTACAATATTGATCAAATAAATGCCACCTGGGCAGGTATCAGGGACATCTTTCAGAAACATAAAAAAAAAAATAGCTTACAGACCACAAACTTATGCATGCTATATGGCTACAACGTAAAAATATATATTTTTTAGAATTAAAAATAAGGAGATAAGCAATTTGAAAGATAACTACACAGCTATAGCACTCGCAGAGCAATTTCTAGCTGTAAAAATATTAAAACATAAAAGTACACGACTCTAAGATGTACTATATTTCAAGCAATCAATATAGCACCATGAAATGTGAAATAAATATCTTTTATTTATTTTCATCATCATTAGCAACACTTTACAAAGTGCCAGCCGTCATAGACAATCTCATGATGTCATCCTGCAAGTAGGCCGATCAGTCCTGCCATCAGCAGACCACAGAGCCCCGGTGGGCCTTTATGATGCCAATCATGCTTCAAATTTCGAGTTAAAAAAAAAATATATATATAAAAAAAATATGCGTACCACTGATATACAGATTTGATATAAACAGGCTTATTGGTCACAAACCAAATTGAATTATAAACATGGCTTTTCTCATACAATAGACAAAGAGGACAAACAACAGATAGAAGTTCTGTACCAGATAAGTGTACTGTCTAAAAAAAAAAAAACGTACATTTCATTTCAAAGTTCTAAACTTCTTTTGTTTTAGTCTTTTTTTTTTACTTTTCTGTCATCAGTTGTACAAGGCGCAAGGCATTGAGTGCGCTGGCAATAATCTCATTCAACCGGCACACAGAAAAGAAGTCTCTTTGAAACACAGACAGTCAAACACACTCAGACGATATATAACACTCACACGAACAAATACAAAGTGCATTCATGACCCTGGAGTGCCAGAAGTGGCGTGTTTCGCTGACGAATCCAGCCTGTTTGAGTTAATGGAAAACTTCCTGTAATTACTTTCATAAATAAACAATGCATTCTGCAGCGATGGAACTCTATTGTTAAACTGGAG